CCGGGGGGGGTTTTTTTTTTTTTTTTTTTTTTTTTTTTTTTTTTTTTTAAGATAAAATAAAATAAAATAATAAAATAAGGAAAGTGTCATAAAAGGGATGCACATGGGTTCTGAGGTGGTTCATAATAATAATAAGAATAAACGGAAGTGGGAATAAAAGGGATGCACATGGGTTCTGAGATAAAGAGAATAAAAAAATATTATAAGAAACATATTAAAATAAAAAAAAAAAAGTGCTCTGGATTATTATAAGAAACATATTATAGTCTGCCAGGAGAGTCTGCCTCAGGCTTCTGAAGCTGATACAGGAACCGAAACAGACCTTCCAGCTTCAAGATCCGTTATTGCACTCTGGGCCGGCTACGATGATTTGGGTCCATGAAGAGAGAGTGTGAGATCATTGCCGACGAGGAGGTAGAGTACGCCTTCGACGAAGCAACCGTTCGTGCCGAGGACTGCGAGGGCGAAGCGGCGGCGCTAGAAGTCGTAGAAGATGCGGTGGTGGTGGAGATGATGGATTGGTTGCTGCGAAGAAGATGAGTCGCAGATCTATTGAAATCCGCAGGAGCCGAATCAAAAAAAGGAAGAAGAGTTTCTGGTATGTGTTGAAAAACTCCAGCAGGCAGCGAAGGCAAGGTTGCCGGCCAGCTGCCTGCCGGAAAGAAAGGAGTATAGGCCTAAATCTTATAGCTCTGATACCATGTAAAATTTAATATATAAAGAGAAATAGAGAATTGTATTATTGATTGATTGATGAATGTTTTGTGATATATTACAAATGGTGAATGACTCATTATATAGGAGAGGGTGAGTGTAGTAGGTGAGGAGTAGGTGAGGAGTAGGTGGTGGTAGGTGATGGTAAATTGGTGGTAGGTGATGGTAAATTTTAACACATAGGCATTCAAAAGTTAAATTCGGATAGGAGAAGATGGACAAATACAACAGAATATGCAGGTACATGGCCAACGAACACACAACTTTTCTTCACCAGATCTTCAGGTGATGAAGAAGACAAATCAAAATGGTAATCTATTGAAGTATATGCAGATGCTAAACTCAGAAATCTTTAAATAATAGAAGACAGCCATAAAATATCAAAACAAATCCACACAAATGCAGAGAAGGCACTGATGGAAGAACTCATAACTTCGAAACAAAGAAGTTAGGATTTTAGTTACCTTCAAATCTCCCTCCTGGGGCAAGCAGGCGATGGTAATCAGCAAATGTCTGGCTAGCTTTAATCTGTTAATCAAAGGTTTAGGAGATGTCAAAGTACGTATAATAAGAGATGCAATAGATAAAGCACCAGGGCTTCATATTATTGTCTTCTAGCAATGCACCAACACGGGTTCAACAAACCTGACATCTGGATATTCAACTATATTCCTATTTTTTCATTTTTGTTTTTAGAGGAAACAACAATTCTAGTTCTGTTTATGTAAGTAAACAATGGACTACAATTCTCATTAGAGATAAGTAACAATACAAAAGTAGAATAAGACTCTCAATCATGAGTAGCAAAAACCAAACAATAATCACATACCCACACACAAAACCAAATAAGAGTCCGAAATTGAGTGTAATAATGACCCCTAAAACAGCGAGTTTCCTCCTAGCCTAGAAGTTTTCCTTGCCATTGGCTGACCAAAAAATAAAAGAGAAGAAAACATGCATAGCAGCAGACACATTCCTTTGCTTAATCAAGTGATCATATGTCATGAACCGGTTCCCTTCTTTACCCAACCAACCTACGGTAGCCAAGGAAATTGCTCACTCCCAAAGACCAACAGATGGCTCACTCCCAAAGAAATTGCTTCTATAAGAGCTCCAAGCACACTTCAAAGTTCCATTTTAGCGTGTATCATATCTTCCCATGCCCAGTTTATCATTTATTATGTTGCATTAAACCACGATAGCTTCACGACAAGTAGAGATAACTTTTTTGAAAGTTATAAAACATTTGTTTCATTATGTGATAAATTTATCCTTTTTTCTATTCTCTTGATATATATACCATAACAAATTTATAAAAGGATCAGTGACTAACCAAAGAACAAAGATTGTCATACCGTGTAATTTATTCCCTTGATTGCAACAGAGGCAGGCAATGGTCTTCCACAGTCTGATGAAAAGATCCTTCCATGTACTCCCGTCTACATATGTGAAATCCAACTCTTTAGAAACATGCTTACTAGCAAAATGAGATGTATTTGATTATTTATCCCAAAAAAAAAAAAAAAAAAAAAAAAAAAAAAAAAAAAAAAAAAAAAAAAAAAAAAAAAAGAAAAGAAAAGAAAAAAAGAGATGTATTTGATTGTACTCTTCATGAAACCACAACACAAGAAGTTAAGAACCCAAGGTAGAGTTGCAATAATTGTTCTTTTTTACTTGGAAGTTATTTTCACACTAAACAATGGAAGAGCTGTCAAGTTGTCAGAAGTTTCCATGATCTCTAAGCGAATTTCTCAATTTCTCATATCTATTTTTAACACACTTCGCTTATGTAGCTGTGAATTTTCCACACTGAGAAATATGCTAATTAATCACAACAACCTAGAATTACAATAGATCTTTGTTGTAATATATGTATTATCAAGATGGAGACCACCACAACAAGATCTTTAAACTCAAATCCATCACTTGTATTTATGTATCTATTACAATAGATCTTCTACAAGGAAGTTGGACAACCAAGATGGAGACCACCACAACAAGATCTTTAAACTCAAATCCATCACTTGTATTTATGTATCTAAGGCAGAGATACACATCCAAACCTTTGAAACACAGATTTTTTAAAATAATGTTGGATTCCAAAAAACTAACACTCCACAGCTTACCTTAACAAGGCTCGCAACAAGATTTAGCATGCTCATTTTGTTGAAATGCCATAGAATAGGAAGCTGCAAAATTACAAATTATATAAATAAGAGCAAAAAAGAATCCTCAGAAAAATAAGAAAAAATCAATTGAATGCTTAAGTGTAAAGTAAGAAATAAAACATTAAAGTCATCCAGGCTACTCTATAGACCATTTAATTCAAAGAAATACATCATCTAAAGGACCAAAAGAATGTCTACACAGGTCTCCTGGCCTTGTGACTCTTAGACCACTCAGATAATACAAGTTCAGTGTTTGAAAATATATATGCATACATAAGTTTAAATATGTTATGAATATAATTATTAATACTAAGACCATCTCTAACCATTCACCAAATTTATCATCAAATTCAAATTTGGTGAAAAATAGGTGCTTTTTGTGCTCCAACGGTTGCACTAAAACAGTATCACCATAGTTGTCAAATCGGGATTCGTATCGTGAATCGAAATAGCTTTGTATCGAATCGCGAATTGAATCGAATCGTGAATCGTAAAGATTCGGTCACTTTTTTAAATTACTTAAAAACATATATCTACACATTTAGATGATAAATATATCTTATGAATATGAAATAATTAGAATTAAATCAATGAAAATGTTATTTTGAATGATAATCACGTAGTTTAATAGGTAAGAAGTTAACAAAAGTTCCTATATAAGATCACTATCTTACCTTTTTTCTTTCTTAGATATTTCTTATCAACCATTCTTAATAAAGATAATAACTAAATTGACAAATTATCAATTTTCAAGGTAACAATAATTAACAATGATATTGATATTTGGATAATAAGCATATATACTTTTCTAAGTAATAACAAGTAAATAATAAGAAAGAATTATTTAAAATCTTTTATCTTAAAGCCTAAAACATTTTAAAAGGTATAACTGACCTCACACATGTAATATTCAATTTAATAAAATAGTAATGGATAATTCATAGTGTAATTTTAATCTTAAATATCTTTAGAAGATATATTACGTTTTTTAGGGGGGAAAAAATGAGAAGAAAGGTTATAAATATGTTAGATTTGACTGAATCTGATTGGATTCTATTAAAAATTCCATGATCATTAAAATAATAATAAATCATGTATATGTGTTGGCTATCTTGCTATTAAATGCTATTAGAAGTTATATTATGTCATTTTCACTAAAAAGATGGAGAAAAAAAAGTCAAAAATATGTCGGACACAATAATTTCAAAAATTGCATGAATCGTAAAAAGTGAAGCGAATCGTGAATCGATTGTGAATCGTACGATTCACTAAAGATTCACCTCCAAAATAGATTCGCCTATAGATTTGTATCGATTTTGCAAAAATTACGAATCGAATCGTGAATTGAATCGCGAATCGTAAGATTCTGATAACAGAGAGTATCACAATGAGAAAATATCAAACATTTCACCAAACTGAGGATGGCTCGGCCCTTTCACCAATTTGCTGTGCATAGCCGTTGAGTTGGACCCATAGGACGACCGGCCGGATGTCCCCCCGGATGACCGCTTTTAGACAAAAAATTGTGAAAATTTACACTGACAGGTCGACCCCCAGGTCGATTTCCATCCTGTTTTAGAAATGTTTGCTTGTATTGGCTTTGATTGGGGCTTGCATGGTGATCGGCGATGCCGTCCTCACGCCTGCAATATCTAGTATATTTATAATTTTGTTCTTATGCATCTTCATTGAATTTGGGCTTGTAGTTTGTTCATGTATGATTGATTTGATTGTTGTGGCCAAATATTTATCTGGTATACCTCCCTCCTCCATCTCCATGTGATATTATTATTATTTACAGATGAAGAAAGGGAACAGACAACAACAGAAATGAAGGCCAAAAAAAAAAAAATTTGCTCTTGCTGGTCGACCTGCCGGTTGACCCTTCAGACGTCCAGTGGTTTGATGAAAGCTCCGTTGGAGCGTCTAATATCAAATAGAGGAATTGGTGATATTTTTACTCAGATTTGGTAAAATGTTTGGTAAAGCATTGGAGATGCTCTAAGAACATGCATATTAATGCTAAGACGAATTTCAGCAGAAAAAAAAAAAGAAAAGAAAAGAAAAGAAAAACGAACTCTAACTCATTCTTACAACTTTATATTGGCCTTGTTTGGTTTGTTTTTTATAAACAAATTTTAGAAAAAATTTTCCAAAATTTTGTTTGGTTTAGTGATTTTGGAAAAAAAATTCCAAAATTACTTTCTATCTTCCACACATCAATCAATCACTTTTTCTCTCTCCTCTTTTCCTTTCAATCACTTTTTCTCTCACACACATCTACTCAACTATAACAAAATATCAAATCATCCCAAACTCCCACACTCCAAAACTATTTCCAAAATATACAACCAAACACACCAAAAAAATTTCTAAACTCCTTCCCCAAGATTTTTTTTGAAAATTTGTCTCCCAAAACCAAACCAAACACACCCAATGTTGATCATCAATGGACTTTAGTTGGGGAGAGAGCCAGAGAATTTTTTAGTGTTCTTGAGTAACTATGACTTACTGTGGGGTAGAGAGAGAGAGAACTTCTCTACAATTGAGTAAAGAATGTATCAAAATTAAATTAATTAATAGTAGGACTGACATTTTCTCTGATAAGTCGTTAATAGGACTGACTGCTGTGGCAAAGATATATCAAACTGAGACCTGACCTCATTGGCAGTAGGCCATTTGTCATCACTGATCTCCAAGGTCAATTCAAAACAGCCACCATATATGTAATTCCAATCTTGCATGCCACCATATATAGGATACCTGCAACCACAGGCACAAATGAGAAGAAAATATAAGAGAACGCGTACTCACAATGATCTGGGAATTTAATCAGTGCAGAAGAAGAAAGCCTCAAAAGTTTTGTAACACAAAGCATATCTTCTATACATGAACTTCATGGGATTTACTTTTAACTTCATACCAAAATGCTCCATTTGTAATTCCTCCTTTAAATTCCTCACTCAGAGACATATTATAGTGAGAGCGACTGTATACACTTGCCAAGAACCTGAATGTGTCATCATCAGGACATCCAAAGTAATTTTTGCTGAAATTGACACAAGGAAAAACAAACTCAAAAAGTTACTTCAGGCAACTAGAGCATTACGAACAACATGGAAGAGCTCATGAAGCAAAGATATGCAACCAGTCATGCATGTAACCACATGGCAGCATACAGACTCTAGAACTGCTTCATGCCTTCAATATAAAAAAATGCCCAAGATTCTTAGGCATTCAACGACAACCAACTGTTGAAAAAATAAGCATGATGAACTCCTGTTATGTGCTATCATTTTTGAAAATAAAAAAAATAGACAAAACCCAAATAAAGTGAATCAAAATTTTGGGCTCAAAAACAGCCCATGTAACGCCCTTTTTGCTGATAAGTACAGCCAGATGTAATTCCTAAATCCTAATATGAAACTTGGGAGTCACAATAAAATTATACCAGTCACTAACAACCAAGCTATAGATACGAAAAAGAAATAGCTGACTTGACAAATTTAGTCCTCGAGGTAGGTAATGGTGTTTTTTTTAAGGTAAGTGAAAATTTTATTGAAAGAAAAAATAATACAAGTAATTACAAAAAAAAAGGCAGTAAACAATGAACTAAGGCTAAAGATGAGCAAAAGAATTAAGAAAGGGCCAGCTTTTACACAATAACAAATTAGGATTGGAAAGCTTAACAGATCTAGAATGGAAAACCTTGACCCTAACTTCAAAACACTGAACTAACAGGAAAGGCTAAACTAACACAGAAGTGGAAGCTTTGAGAACAAAACACAGAGCATCTCAACTTACAAATCTTGTGATGGATTTAAAGATGAATGGTGAATGCAAAAATCTTACCTTTTGTCCTGAGTTCCATCCCATGGATAATTAGCAACAAGTGCACCCTGTTAATGAGAAGAGACAAGGGCTTCAATATCCATGTTCAGTTACCAAATGTTTATTAAAAAACAGGATTAAAATCCAAAAGTTGAGCTTATTAAATTTCTTAAGTGAACATAATTACGCTTTTTGAGACACTAAGATCAGGGTTAGGCACTATATCTTACATAATTTAGCCCAGTTACAGTGAAACAAAAGAATGAACAGATGTTGAAGGGAGAGTTCACTGGCACTGCATTAAACATGACAAAAGTACAAATTTTGTATCTTGACCAAGAAGAAAGAAAATTTTCAGACCACAATCATAATCCAGTGTGATGAAGAGTAAATTATCATTTCTTGCACTTTTTATTCCATCAACTTTATGACATGCCATAATCTTCTCCTTCAATTGAAAGATCCAACCCTTTTAATAATCGTTTCAATACATTCCTGTCTAAAGAAAAAAAAATCTCTTTAACAACAGAGTTTTTCAGCGATGAAGTCAAAATGCAAAAACTAAGGTTGCCCATAACATTCTCAAAATTATATAAAAAGAATATCACCTATTTTCAGAACTCAAGAGTTAAAATGTTCATAATCTTGAATGGCCGGGAGGAAATTAGTTCAACACAACTCAGGGTTCCAAACCCCCAGTAAATGACTCGAACGGATTATGTCATCAAGATTTTCCAATACAACCTGATCAAGGTATCTCAATAAGGAACTACATGCTAAACCATTTAAGCCTAGCTGTTAGAGACATGAGAGAAGAGGTCAAAAAAGTTGTGAAGGAGACTAAGTTGAAAGCCTATAATGACCTATACACTAGACTAGATAGTAAGGAAAGAAAGAAGAGGATATACACACTTGCTAAGAAAAGACAGAGAAAAACAAGAGATTTTAATCAGGTTAAATGCATCAAGGGTGGGGACTCTAAGGTGTTGGTGAAGGATGAAGAGATTAAGGAGAGGTGGAAGAACTATTTTGAAAAGTTGTTAAATGAGGAGCATGGAAGTAGGTCAAAAGGAGAGGAAGTAAGCAGTCATATGGAAAACCAAGGCTATAGGTCCTATCCTAGGATTAGGAACTTTGAAGTAGAGTTTGTACTTAAGAAGATAAAATTGAATAAGGCATTAAGACCCGATGATATGCCTATTGAAGCGTGGAAATATTTTGGTAAGGGGGTTGTTTGGTTGACTAGGTTATTTAGTAAGATTTTGTTGATTAGAAAAATGCCCGAGGAGTGGAGGAAGAGTACTTTAGTGCCAATATATAAGAATAGAGAAGATGTCCAAAATTGCAACAACTATAGAGGAATCAAGTTAATGTGTCACACAATGACATGTGAAAGAGAGTGATGGAACGTCGATTGCGAGATATAACAGAGGTGTCAGAGAATTAATTTGGGTTTATGCCTAGTAGGTCAACAATGGAAGCGATCTATCTTTTGCGGAGAGTAATAGAAAAGTATAAAGAAAAAAAACGAGACATTCATATGGTATTTATCGATCTTGAGAAAGCATATGATAGAGTGCCTCAGGATATAATCTGGTGGGTGTTAGAGAAGAAAGGGGTGACAAAAGGTGACATTAATGTGATTAGGGATATATATGAAGGTGTGGTGACCACTATTAGATTGCCCGCTGGAGAGACGAGTGAATTTCCAATTACTGTAGAGTTACCACCAAGGATCAACCTTAAGTCCTTATCTTTTTGCTTTAGTTATGGATAAGTTGACGCACAATATTCAGGATAATGTGCCATGGTGTATACTTTTTGCAGATGATATCGTGTTAGTGGATGAGACTAGAGAATGAGTTAACACTAAGTTGGAGATTTGGAGAAAAATACTTGAATCTAAAGGATTTAGGATAAGTATAACTAAGACAGAATATATGAAGTGTAATTTTAGTAACAATTACAATGAAAACAGAGAAAAAGTGAAGATTGCGAACTAAGAACTACCTAAAAGTAAACATTTTCGTTATTTAGGATCGATTATCACAACGAATGGGGAGATTAAAGCGGATGTGCTCTACAGAATTAATGCGGGGTGGCTTAAGTGGAGGAGTGCGTCTAGAGTACTATGCGATAAACGAGTACCCATTAGATTAAAAGGGAAGTTCTATAAAACAGCTATTAGACCAGTGATGTTGTATGGGACGGAATGTTAGGTAACTAAGAAACAACATGTAGATAAGATGAGTGTTGCTAGATGAGGATGCTAAGGTGGATGTGTAGTCAAACTAGAAAAAACAGAGTTAGGAATGAGTATATTCGAGAATTGGTAGGAGTAGTACCAATAGAAGACAAGTTGAGAGAGAATAGATTGAGATGGTTTAGTCATATACAACGGAGACCAGTAGAGGCAGTAGTGAAGAGATGCAATACAATGACGGTAGATGGTAGTATTAGGAGAAGGGATAGACCTAGATTGACATGGACTAGTATAGTAAATAGAGATACAAGTCTCCTTAATTTGACTAACGAAATAGCCTTGGATAGAGGCGAGTGGAGAAAAAAATTCATGCAGCCGATCCCATTTAATGGAACTTAAGGCTTAGTTTGGTTTGATTTGTTAGAGACATGAGAATTTTCATAGGAAATGGTAGGGACAGCATAGGGTAACAAATATATATATGTATGGTATCCATGAAAGTTATGAATGAATGGGAAAATTAAAAAGAAGATTAAAAAAAAATCTCCTAATGGAAGTCCTAAGGGGAGAACATTACTGATGCGGAATATAAGAAGTTCAAAGAAAAGTAAATTTAAAGAAGTGGCAATATTTGGAAATTGGAATAGTTTCTAAGAGAAATTGATAGGAGCCAAGCATAATCATGTTTCTAATATTATTATAGTTTTATTTTATGATTATTTTTATGTTTCTAGGATTTTTAGGTGAGAGGTATTTTGGTAATTTTATATTTGCCTATATGGGCTGTAGGGGTCGCCCATGGGTTGTCTTGTGAGTCAAGTTATTTAGTTAGTCTTTGTTTTTGTTTCTTATTTAGTCTTAAATTAGTTTTGGAATTCAAAGATATTTTGGCAGTTTCCTATTTTAGTTCTATTTGGTTTAGAAAGTCTCCTAGTCCTATATAAAGCCATGTAATGTTTATAATTCAATAGAGTTGATATTTTATAAAAAGTTAAAGAACTTTGAAACTTCTTTATGGGTTGTGTGATGCAATCAAACCCTAGGTGTGATGTCTATGGAATCTAGGTGTAATGCCTAGACCTATCTTCCTCTTCTCCCTTCTTCTTTTATGTTTCAATTTGCTATTCTCGGATTACTATTTATAGCCCTCTAAAAGTGGATTTTTCAACCTCAAAGCTCCATCCAATCACCCTCAAATCAATCCTAATCCCTTCCCCTACCTATTAGCCTTTAATTTACTCTTGAAACCATAAATTACTCACTGTTTAGGTCATCAAATAACCTCTGTTTTGAAAATCCAGCGCTGCCCCTATTTGTCTTGCATCAGTTTGGTATCATCAGAGCTTAAGGTTTCGCCCTGATGTTTTCTCATTGTGGGAGATCCAATACAAGTGGATTGACTTAGAAAAAATATTCGTCTGAGGGACCTTCAAGAAGATTTTCTTGATCAATTGTATGCTCTTAAGAAAGGTGATGTGTGTGATTGATTATGCAAGAAAATACAAGAAATTAAGTAAGAATTTATGTATTTATTGATTGTTGTTATTTATTACAATTACAAGGATTCCTATTATATAGGAGTGTGTTTGGGAGTAGGTGGAGAGTAGGTGAAGTGGAGGTGGTAGTGGTGTAGTGGGTTAGGTTTAGTGGAGTAGGTGAGGTGGTAGTGGTGGTAGGTTTATGGTAAATTCTAACAAATTATTTATCAAATTTGGAGTGGTCGAAAATGAACGGATGACTATTGCTCGTTTCAAAAGTGGATTGAGATTTGGAATTAAAACAGAGATGTCTCATGCATATATTTAGAAGATCTCAAAGATGCTATTGAAACGGCTATACAATTTGAATTTTTTGTAAAATTTAAGGAGAAATCTACAGTTTTGTAGCCTGCACATAATGGAAAGACTGTCCAACAAAAGAAACCAACAAAAACTCCTAAACCAAGGGCTAAAGTGCCACAAAAAGCCACAAGAAGATGCAGCAAAGCCAAATATTGTTTTTAGGGATGGAAATCGTACATAATTGAAGTTATAAACCAATGAATTTATTCAGAATTTTCCCAAGATGAAAGATGACCAGATTTTGAAGGATAACGAGGCACTTATTGATGATCCAAAAGCACCTCAAGAAGATCTAGTTATTACTCAAGTAAAGGCTAGAGTCGAAAATGAAGAATTGGATGCTATGGAAGCTGTAGGGACTGAAGAATCAAAGCAACCAGCTGCTAGTGCTGTGCAAAATATGCCTTTAAAGGTCACCAATGTGTTGCCTAAATTTTCTAATTTGGCGCCAACAAAGTCATCTAATGAACCTTTACCTGTGCATAATGTCCAGCATGATATTGATCCTATATTAAAGTCACAATTGCCTAACCCACCAGCACATAATGCAAATTTGAGTGAGTATAACATGCAGAAACAATGATAGGTGCTGATTTCATTCAACAGGATGTCAAGGTTGAATTGCATGACAACATTTTGATTGAGGAAAAGGTTGAGCATATGGAATCCATGATTATTGATACAAGAAAAAAGCATTCAAATTGATTGCGAGCAGTACATTGCAAAGCTAAAAGAGAATGGAATGGATGGGCAGAATTTTGCAACTCTACACTTGAATCAATTTAAGGGTTCATCTTCTACTTCAATTGATTTCGTCATTCCAGAAAAATTCAGCTTTAGAGCTGAAAATATCTTGTTGCTTTCATTGCTAGCTCCAATGAAGAAGAAACGATACTGCCAACTTGAAGATTTTAACATGAAGCCGTGGATGCAATTCCGAAGCTTGTGGATGCTTATACTTCAACACTTCAAAACTCATGGTCGAGTTTTTTCCAACCAAGGGAGAACAATGCGGAATATAAGAAGCTCAAAGAAGAGTAAATTTAAAGACGCAGTGATATTTGAAAATTGGAATGGTTTCAAAGAGAAATGGATAAGAACCATACATAATCATGTTTCTAATATTATTATAATTTTATTTTATGATTATTTTTATATTTCTAGAATTTTTAGGCGAGGGATACTTTGGTAATTTTATATTTGCCAACATAGGCTGTAGGGGTCGCCCATGGGTCTTCTTATGAGTCAAGTTATTTAATTAGTCTTTATTTTTATTTCTTATTTAGTCTTAAATTAGTTTTGGAAGTCAAAGATATTTTGATAGTTTCCTATTTTAGTTCTACTTGGTTTAGGAAGTCTCCTAGTCCTATATAAAGCCATGTAATGCTTATAATTCAATAAAGTTGATATTTTATAAAAAGTTAAAAGAGCTTTGAAGCTTCTTTATGGATTGTGTGATGCCTATGGATCTAGGTGTGATGCCTAGACTTATCTTCTTCTTCTTCTTTCTTCTTCTTTTATGTTTCAATTTGCTATTCTCGGATTACTATTTACAGCCCTCTAAAAGTGCATTTTTTAACCTCAAAATTCCATCCAATCACCCTCAAATCAACCCTAATCCCTTTCCTTACCTATTAGCCTTTAATTTACCCTTGAAACCATAAATTACTCACTGTTTAGGCCATCAAATAACCTCTGTTTTGAAAATCCAGCGCTGTCTAGGACGAGTAGGAATTACTTTCCAAGAAGTAGTGAGCTCGGGTTAAGTATACTAGCAGCAGCAACAGTAGACTTATAGGGCTGGATTTGATGGGATTTCGTAACTATAGAAGTATTTAAAAAATAGGAGTTTGAGGGTTTGTAAAATGGTAGGATTTTAGGAATGAAAACACAAGTGTTTAGGGGTAGTTGGGTGGTTGTTCTAGGCACTATAAACTGTGACGTGAACAATAACCTTGCTGGATAGAAGAAGAAGAGAGAGTGAGAGAAAGAGATGCTTCATCCTCACAAGGGATAGGCCAATCACACATACAATCTCAAATTTTCATAATATTTGCTCTCCTCCTCAATTATTGAGATTAAACATATATTTACGGGCTAAATACTCTCCTAATTCTATAAGGACTATAAGGCCTCGTTCGGCAACCTTCAATTTTAGTCAAAAAGTCAAAAAGTTACTCTAAATTGTCACATCATTCTCTTTACTTTTCTGCACAATTTTTCGTAAAAAGCCAAAAAGTTACTAAAATAACATGTTCTCAAATGAGGCCTCAATTTAGAAACTAAAAATATTTAGCAACTACTAATATTCTAAACCAACTATGACTTTCAATTCTACTTCAATCATAATAAGAAACTTTAATGACTTCTGATTCTACTCCAATATCAAAATAAGAAACTTGGATTGTTGACCACTAAAATTATTTTAGACATAATAAAGCTCATATATAATAACTTGATCTAAAATAAAACCCATGGGCAACCTCTACAACCCATGTCCTACAATTATTGGAATTACCATTGTACCCTTAATTACTAAAACCTACTATAATGACTTGAAGACTCAAAATAATTCCAAATCTTTAATGCTTGATACCCTAAATGTGCTTCATGAGAAATTCCAAATTTGTTGTTTTTCTTCTTTCCATGATATTCATCAATTATGCTTATTTATTGTTTTATGTTGGTAGAACATGTAATGACAGCAGTTTTCCTGGAAACATATAATTTATAAACAAGGCTTCAAGTCAATCACAAAAACAAGTCTCACAGAAAAACAAATTTTAATGTGATTGCGATACAAATTTACTTTTTTAAGCTAAAAATTCCTCTAGTAATAAATGAAAGGGGAAATAACCCAAACAAATTTTTAAATAATAATAATAATAATAAATTGCCATCAAGGTATGCATCCTAAAAATGGCATCTGTACACTTCTTAAGGTCCACGGACAGAAATTATGAAGTATTACCCCATGCAAACTGGCAGATGCAGTGAAATGTATCTCTTCCAACCAACGCATAATTGCTTTTGTTTCAGGTTGCAGCACATCCACATCATCATTGATAGGAAAGAACTGTCAGTGTCATCTCATGTCAGTCAATAATTCTTAGAACTAGTTACAAACAAAGCAGTAAAATAAAATGTAAACCAAATGAATAGAGAATATTGTCCAAGAGGGAAAAGAATAGCAACAGAAAGTATAAACCTATTTTTAGCAAATTTGTAGTCGAAATATAATTAAAATAGGCATATTGTGTGAGGTTTGAATACAATCTGGGTCGAATCTTGAAAGTGTAATCAATTAAGCTGAATCCTATCAGAAATCTTTTTATGGAGAAGCAAATTAAATCCACTGTAGCAGTAGAAAGCGAGTTTGAAATGTTCAGATTACACGGAAAGATATCTACAATTTAAGATTACGAATCGCGACAAGAGACAGATGCCAACACAAAAATTTTAAAAATATAAGACAACACATTGGGAGGCATGCAACATATATATTTTTATATATTTATTATGTATCATATACATAAATATTTCATTCAAAGATACTAAAAGTCTAAGAAGCATGGACACGGACACGTGACACGACACGAGTACGACACGGACACGCCGACACGTTAATTTTCAAAACATGCAGGACACGACACGAGGAGGACACGCATGAAATACATAATTTTATATATTTATTATATGTTATATATGTATGAATATATCATTCAAAGATAATAAAAAATGCAATATGACACTAATTCTTATAAATTTATATGGTTTTTATTTTATTATTGTATCTTAAGTTATTTTGTTCAAACTTATAATTAGTTTTACGTATGTCTAATCGTTAGACACGTGTGTTTAAACGATTGACACGTGTGTCCTTCAAGTGTCCAAAGAGTGTCCAAGTCTTTAAACAATAGGACACGCTTTGAAGAGTGTCGGACACGTGTCCTGAGAGTGTCCAAAGAGTGTTGGTGTCCGACACGTACCCAACACGGATACGTCACCTTCCTAGAAGTGTCCGTGCTTCTTAGCTAAAAGTCAACAACATAACATGAATTTATAAAATGTAGAGGAGGATAGACTAATAGACATAAATCTACATTATTTTTCCTTTACCATTAGAGAATAAGTTATTTTGTCTAAACTTGTCTCCCATGTATTTAAAGCGTGTCTGGATGTAAAAAATTTAAAAAGTAATAGGACACATTTTTGTATGTTTGTCCGATTCATACACACCACTTTCTTAAAAGTGTCCATGCTTCTTGAGAGGAATCCATTTAGGAGTATACCCGTCTTTTGGGTTCCTTTGAGACCTAAGTACAGATTTTTCTTGATGTATATGAGTTGCATCCGACCCCATTTGATGGGACTTAAGGCTTGGTTTGGTTTGGTTTATATGAGCTGCATCCGTTTTGATGCCTTTTAAATAAATTTTACTTACTAAGAATAAAAATGCTTTTAGTTGGAGACTAAAAGTAAATGGCAAATGCTAACAAGCTCCAACACATTGTTTAATGTTGGGATTAGTGTAAAAAGTGTTTTGGAAATGGTGAAAAAGTTAGCAAGTGTTTTAAAATGAGTAAAAGAGTGTTATAAAACTAATGAAAAGTGTATTGGGTTCTACACTTGTTTTGTCTTTTTCTTATGCCCCTAGGGCATTTGTTAGCAAGACTCATAGTAAATTTACAAATTGGTTTCAGCTAAAAGTAAACTTTTTAAGAGAAACAATGGACTCTAATAGATATCTTTTACAGTTTCACTTTTTTCATTCATTGCCCTACTTAAAGAAGTTATGAACTCAAATAGACAAGTTTTACTTTTCCATTCGTCAATTTGCTTGAAGAAAAGAAAAGGAGAAAACCTAAAATACAAGTATTGAATGACCACACCATTGAATTAAAATTAATGCATAACTTGGGAAAAATTGCAGAAAACTAATTCGTAAAATTATTGGTACAGGAATGTTTCATCTTTTAACAGTACTGCCTCCGTCCCATATTGATAGTCCCTTTTGAAAATTTCGAACTTCTTAAGGAAACATAATCAGTACACTTCGAATTCAAATTTTAAAGGATTAATTCTAAAAATACCCTTCTATTCTCATTTTAAAATATATTTATAATTACTTTAAAAGGGGTAATTTTGGAAATTTTTAAATTTGAAGTTTTGACTTTTCAAATTGGACATGTAATTTGGGACAACAAAAAATGATATAATGGACCAACAAAATGGGGCAGAGGGAATATTATACAATGAATAGGATGACCACCAACAAAAACAACACAGATCCATTAAGAAATTGTGTCCATTATATTTCTTAGCAAATTATGTTTACTTCCTGGGTTTTTGATAATTTGAAAGACCCAACTTGGGCTTTCTTTAAAAACTGACAGGTCTAGTGAAGTTCTATCTGTGAACTATATTCTGTCATTTTGCTGTGTACTTTAGTGTAGTTTAGTCTTATCTATGTAATAATTTTAGGGTTTATTGCTTTTGCCTATTTAATCTTGTACTTTGCTTGACGAATACACACATAATACAATACGCATTTTGCTTACATAGATAAGACTAAACTACCCTTAAGAACACAGCAAAATAACATAATATAGTTCACACTATTATCTAACTGTCATTTCAAACAAATTTTTTGGGGTATTTGAAAAGGGGGCAAGTCTGATAACTTCAGCAGACCTAAGGAGAGGCCAATGTATGTTTTGAAAGATACAGCTCCTTGGTTATTTAGAACTTCGAGGAATGTAGCAGCAACTTAACCTCTCTCTCTTGTTTTGTGCACTTAAAATGTTGTTTTTACGTATGAAGTAGACCTTAGTCTTATGTAAGTGATATTTTATGATGCCAATTGAACTAAAATAAGGGAACATGCAGTGGACTATAGAATGAATTTATTCATCCTCATGAAGCTTCTTAAAACTTGCATTCCTGAATAATGTTCTGGAAAATATTTATGTACCTTTCAATGTAATATGTAAATTCCAATTGTCTCCAGCCAAAAAATAATAATTAAGAAAAATCCAAAAGGTTCCCAAGAATCCCATCTCCCAGAAATCTATGATTCTATATGAATTAGATAATTATGTTGTTGACATATAACCAATGCAGCAAATCAGATACCTGGTCTGGAAAATCACGATTTAGATCAATGTTATTTGCATTACCGCGCCGCCTCAGGGAAAATCCATCAGGATTCATTGATGGAAGTATATGAAGGTGAACCTTATTAACTATCAGTGTCGCCTGTAATGACCAAGTCAGTTCAGTATAAATTAGACATTAAAGGGAGACATCCTGAATTGTTTACTTACAAAACTATTTTCAACTCTGAACCATTCCTGGAGCATACAGAAATACCACTTAAATAAAACGCAATTGTAGACTATAAGTAGGTTCAGTCCAGAGAAATAATCAAAACTGGGAAGAAAAAAAATATATACAGAGTAGATCACACAACAAGAATGAAATATTTTCAGAAAATCTGGCTAAGATAACATAATGACCCATAAGGACATACTTTCATTATTTAACTATACAAAATATCAGCATCTGGAAAAGAACATAAAGTTGCACTGCAGCTGCCTGAGTATGCATATACAAAATTACAAATAATTAAGATAAAAGTGAGTTTATGAACTAGGCAATTTTATAGCTTCTGAAAGATAATTAAATGCCAAAACAATAAAGAAAAGACAGGAAAATGAATTCTTTCTTACAGATGGGAAGTACAAAGCTAGAACAAACAATGTAAGTACAAATGCCAAGCAAAGATAATTACCAAGGGATCCTTCATATAATTATCACATAACCAATTTGCTAGAAGTAACAGAAGTTCACGACCTACAGGTTCATCCCCATGCACATTTCCAATGAACTGCAAGTTCCAGGTTATCCAGCAAATCAGTCCTTAAAATAACCATACATATATGGGTCTCAAAAAAACAATTGCTTGAGAAAGCATCATTTACACAGGGCAATAATACAAAGCTACAAAATGTCATCAGTGATGGCACTGTCCTGGCAGAATGAGAAACCATGATCCCCAAATTAAATAACGGCATCCTAGTTCGGGATAAATAGATGACATTTTTATATTCACTAGATTATTCCATATCAATAATGTCAAGTCTTTTGCCTGGTTAAAGATAACAAGATACAGTGTATTAGGGCAACCATCAAACTCAGTCTAAAGGTCAGCACTGGTAACATCGGGGGGTGTTGTGGAATCCTACATACATAAACAGCATCATCTGTAGGCATCAGAGTAGTGACCATTACAAAGATACATAGATAGAATGATGCGTAGAAATGCCTATGTCTTTTTGCTTGCACATAGAGAGAGAGAGAGAGAGCATTCAATTGGATAAACTTCAGTGAAAGTAAGAAAGTAAAATACAAAACTACCAAACAAAGTTCATATCCTACTCCCAGGACATAAGGATGTTAGCAAACAACCAAAAATAATAACGATAAGTTGTCAATAACAGTACTCCAATGGCTTATCACAAATCAAGTGATATTTCAAGACACTAACACATGCAATTTGCATTTACCACTTCCCAAGCACTCCCATTTGCTGAACTGTAGTTGCTAGACAAAATACATTGTAGACAGTTGGCGAAGGAATGTGACAGTGTCTACAGAAACAACTTCGACATGTTTTGAAGGGTGTAATGACACATGCAGACCATTTGGCATCACTGGGTTTCAAAATCAATGAAATATAGGTAAAGGTTTTAACCCTTAATAGATGAGTCAGCTGGAACTCACGAATGCCCTTCACTCATTCCTATTAGGCCAATATTTGCTTGAGATTCGAATTTTTTTTTTTTTTAGCTTCACAACTTGATATTGTTTCCATTTCCTGAACTTTTCTCTGATTTGTTCTTCAAAAATAAAATAAACTAAAGAACTAGAAATTAACTACATAATTATTTTTTCTATTAGGAACTCTGAAACAAAACTTGAATTGGAAATTTAAAAGAAGCCTCTACTGAGCAAAAGATAGACAAGATCGTACTTAAAAAATCAAGCAATAAATCGAGCATTAAATCCCCTCATAAAAAGTGATTTGATCAAACTCGAAAAATCCATAATTCGATGTATTAAGTAGTTCTTATTCAAAGTATATTTGGTTAACTCAACATTGACTGTCGCTTACAGGTATATAATTGACATTTACTTTTTCTTGAAACTTATCACAAATAGTTGTATAACCTTATAACCTTTTAGGTTTTCCATGTCACTAGCAATAACATATCTATCAGTGTACATGTTGTATAGTTCAGTAGGAAGCTCCAATTCCTCAGCAACCTCAATTTGTTTTCAGCAAGAGATCATATTCTCCTTTTATTTATTTTCTTACAGACTATCTAGATGTGCTAGATGGTTTAACTCTACAACCTGTGAATTAATGTTGTTCCATACACATCTTCAGTCTGGTTATTACCACCAATGTATAAAAGAAAAAGTATAAAGGTCAGGTGTGCTCATGTATAGAAGATCATCTACCTTGAAAGCAGGCTCAGCCTCTTCCTCCCCAGGCTTGTCAGAAATTTCCATCACCCACTATTATTTGATCAAGCAAAAACCCATTCAGCTCTCTGTGACTTTTAGACACTAACCAAATCATCACTAAAAAAGGTGAAGTACATAAAGAAATGAACTGGCTTTGCAAACAATATTACCAGTGGAACTCCCCTCATTCTCTTTCTGATACTGATTGTAGATTCCAGCAATCCCTCAAAGAGAGAAACACGAGCTACACCATTGGATTCCAAACTCAGAGAACTAAAACGGGCGTACAAATAGTACACATTAATGTGTGATTGGATACACACGACAATGCAACACATTGAACATTATATATCTTGACAAAGAACTCTTGCTTAGTTCGGTATCAAACTTCTAGTACTCCATTTGAATTATACACCAGTATGATAAAACTTAATTATAGTTACACTCGCAAGCAAAAATGCATTTCTCATTAATCACCTGTATATCCTGGCTATGTTAGCACATCTCTGACCGAATGACTTAATGGCCTTTTCAAGATCAGAATTAGTCATATACCCTTGAGCTAAATTATCACTGCAACAAAAGATATTGACTCATCTTCACCACTCAATGCAAAATATAAAAAAAAAAAAAAAAAAAAAAAAAAAAAATGAATCAACGGAAAAAATTAAAAAGAAAAATTTGAAAAATCTGAAAGTTTCAAGATTACAGTTTCTGAAATTGGTTTTCCTCAAACAAGTGCCTTGCCCAACCACCCACATAACTATGATCCATAAAACCTGTCAAACATAAGGCAATTAACACAAACAAAACAACCAAATTAATAAACTAGGTAGAAACAATCATCAACCGTTCAAATTCAACACTACTGTAGTTGGTCAAACACAAATCCTTCAGTAGAATTTGAAATCAACAAGAAGGAAAAAATTGAACCCAGATTTGTGATAAGAGAGGTCTATTGATCCAATCTTTTGGTTTCTGAGAAAAAAAACATTTGGAAAATATTTTTTAAAAATTTAAAAAAAAAAGAAAGAAGAAATCTGAATCTTGAATTCTTGGTTAGCTAAGGGCATTGGAAAACAAAATCCCCCACTTAACAGAGCTAATTTAACTGTTGTGCTCACTTGATTTGACCACAATTTTGGCAGATTAATTCAACACATATAATATAGACAGAACATCTAAACAAAACAAATTCTCAGCTACAAAGAAATTAAACTTTACTTGTTTCTCTATCTATCGTTATCTTTTTCAAAGATTCCAAACAAGAGTGAAGCAGAAACATTAGGCATTGGAGGAGAAACAGACCTGATGTGTTGGAGGTCCGTGCGCCGCCTCTGGCGATGGCGGGGTGGAAGAAAGGGAACAATTTTAGAGAGAGAAAGAGGAGAGAGAATATGAGCTTCATGTTAGAAATCACAATAAGCCTCTGTCTGTCTCTCTCTCTCTCTCTCTGTCTCTCTCTCTCTCTCGTATATTTTATATTGCCTTGTTTGTTTACTCTTTTTGCAGTCCGCTTCTGATCGCTAAAGAGGAACGTTGAACGCGGAAGGGGGAACGGGGACTGGTGATTCGCATGTGAGTCAGGGTGCGCCTCTTTTTATTTTTTCTTCGGATTTGGAGTTTGGAATGGCTACTGTACAGGGCAGCCACTGCTGTGCAGTGAAATTGGACTAAGCCTCGCTTGATGAGTAATTTTTTTTAATTAAAATGTTAAAAATTCGTTTAAAAAAATTAAATGGCCAATAAGTTATATCAAAAATTAAAGTTTTTTTTTTGTTTTTTGTGTATCTTTTTATAAAAAATTAAAAAGTCATCATAAATATACTAGTGTTTTTTACAATATATTTTAGTCAAAAAGTTACTAAAAAAGTCTGTTCCCAAACGAGGTCATACGACAATTCGAATTGTTCATATTTTAGATTAAATTAAGTAGAATATGGTCCCGTTTGGTAGAACTGTGAGAAAGTGATTATAGATTATACCTTAACAGATTATAACTTACAGCTATGAACATAAGTTGGTAACTTGTTTGATGCAGCTGTGGGATTATAGATTTAAGCAGCAGTGTTTGGTAAATAAGTTGTAAAATAAATTTTTTCTGTATAATTGTCATTTTTGCTCTTATAAGATATAAAATTTGTAATTTCATTTATAATATATTTTTTTCTTTTTCTTTTTCTTTTTATTTTATTTTCTTTTCTTTTTTAAAATTTTTTTTTCTTCTCTTCTTTCTTTGTTAATTTTTTTAAATTTATTAATTCATTAAAATTAATATTTTTTGTTCTAATTTATAATAATGTTGTGATTTCATTACATATTATCTTTCATATATTCATTATCAAAATTATTAATTTTTTTCTTCTCTTCTTTCTCTGTATTTCTTTTCTTTATTATTATTATTAATTGTGATTTTAGTATAAAAATCGTCAATTGCTCATCAATTATTAAAATTAGTATCAATTATTAATTATTATTATTATAAAATTAGTATCAATTTGTCCATCAATTATTATTATTATTATTTTCATATTATTATTATTATTTATCAATTAGTATAAAATTAATGGCTTAATTAGCATCAATTAATACTAAAACTTTTAATAGTATCAATTATTTCAATTAATGTTGTGATGTCATTACATATTATTTTATTTCAATCAATTGTTAATTTTGTTTGCAAAAATCATTGTTTTCATTTTTTATTATTTTGTTTTGTTTTCATTAATATCAATTAGAACAATTTTTTTTTATATTATTATTTCAATACCAAAAACTATTTCATTAATAAAAGTTAATACATTTTTGTTTTTAATTGGTAAAGAAATTACCAAATAAATTTATTTTTGTTTTTATTTTTTATTTTTTTTTCTTCTCTTCCTTCCTCATGAACCATCCGTACGCTGATGGTCTGAACCCTAGCCACCGCCGTGATCTAGAACGGCAGAGAGGGAGTGCCGTCGGCCTGAGCAACCACCGCCTGAACAACCACCACCTGAACAGCGAGAGAGAGAGAGACGACGGCGTGAACAACCACCGCCTCTGACACCTCTTCTCTTACGGCAACAGATCGCGATGCGTAGGGTTTTCAGATCGCGATGACGGCGGTGGATCCAGGCTGTCGATTAATTGAGGCTGTCGATTTGCCTTCAGATCGCGATCACGATGCCTCTCTAAGGCGATGATTGTCACTCTCATCGATCTGAATCGAACACACAGAGAGAGAGAGAGAGAGAGCGCGCGTTAGGGTTTCAGAGAGCCAGGTTGGTCGGAAATCGCCTCCCTTTCGCCGAAAATCGCCTCTCAAAGGCGTGAGAGAGACAGAAATGAGTTGTGTTTGGTTTATATACGTGGCACACTGGTTATAACTTGAAATGGTGAGGGGCATTTAAGTCATTATACACCTTAAGGCTCAGCTGCGCGCATAATCAGTTTGGAAAAGCACCTCTTAGCTCACTTAACAGATTATGCGTGAAATGGCTTAAATTAAGCCATAATTTATCCTTCATAATTTTTACCAAACACTCTAATATGACTTATTTTAAGTTATAAGTTGATTTAAGCTATAAATAAGTTCTACCAAACAGCCACTATATCTGTAAAAAATTAAATTAATCGGATATCATTTACCTATTCATCCCCTCACATTTGTATCTATTTTATTATCTTAAATCACAATTATTATTTATTTTTGTAGATACAAATGTGAGTGAATGAATGAATAAACGATATCTGATTAACTTGATTTTTTGTAAGTATATTTTACTTTATGTATTTTAAAATATAAACGATTCAGATTATCAAAACGAGTCTCAAAATAAATCAATTTTATTGTACAAGAGTAACTACTGCACAACAATCACTCCAAATCCTCTTCGAACCCCGTACTTCAACTATTTCTATTTATTAATTACAAGTACACTTCACTTTCACACAAAATTGCCTTTTAAGAACAATTTATAGCCAGGTTTGGTTTGGTTTTTTTAAAAAAATAATAATAAATTAGAATTTTTTTTAAAAAAAACATAGGAGCTAATTTGATAAAAATACATATTAACATAAATTTTTTAATTTTAAAATTAGTTTTAGCTTTTCAGAAATAAAATTATATAAAAATAATAAGTATTTTTTTATTTATTTCACCAAATTAATTTTTAATTTTTTTAAAAAAAATTCTGAAACAAATTTTTGAAAACCAAATCAGACATAGCCTATATCTTTATATATTTGAGTTCTACCTTTTGCTAAAACATAAATGAAAAATGAATCTTCGCCTCTATAACTCACAATACCTTTATTTTTGGTAAAATGCAACTCACAATACCTTCCACCACTTTTTGTCCCTCTTCAACTTAAACAGAGTAATTGTAAATAATTTATCTACTGAGAGGGGAATTTGTGTCAAGATGTCTGGGCCAGGCTAAATCACCCTTGTTTTGGGTCGAGCTATAGATTTGGAGACTACATAGTTTTGGACCGTGTGAGGAGGGTCTAACCAATCAAACTGCATTCATGTTTGTACTGGGTAGACTTGTTCTAGTCAGCTAGCAAGCCATTCTAGGACCGTGCGTCGTTAAATGCACGTCGAGATGGGATAGTACAACAATTGTGCTTTGCGCGGCTCATGACATTTCTATAGCTTGGACAATGAGTAGGGCAACCGGGTAGTTGGTTTGCCCGGTTGCTAGTTAAAGAGTTGTGTTGTTTCATCTCAACGCCAGTAGAGAGGGTATGAAAGGATAAACATTATTCTTTAGGAATGTGATTTCTAATGGGATTCTATAAAGAGGAATTAGAATTCTACTAGGATTCTGCCATGCAAAACTTACAAAAGTTCATACCTAATCTAGTATCACAAAATGCAATTTTGGTTCTCAAATTCACAAAAATTTTCCTCCTTGTTGATCTTATTTGCTAACTTAGGCATCAAAGAGATTTTCGGTATACATCTACCAGTAAGCTCACGTTTCTATGATTTCAGGTCATATGACATCATTTGGAGGAGCACAAGCTTGATCACCAGGATTATACAAGTAATGAACATTTCGTGCTCGTACAATTAGCCTCGTCTATGAGAAGTTCACAGAACAAACCTTTCGATCAAGCTCTCTTCAATGGTTTTTTATGGCGAACCTCGAAGATCCACCACTTTCTGTCGTTGACGGCCAAACGTCAGAGGCCAACAAGATTTGCCTCTAGCCCCTTCCATAGAGGATTTGGACACTCAAAGAATGAACCTCACAGGTATGTACGAGATAAGTGCATATTGAGCCATCGACATTCATGAAGCCCAAATAGACAAAGACGACAAAGAACATCTAATACCCAAAGCTTGAAGAACAAAGTTAGAGAGCAATAAAAGATAATAAAGAAGATTGCAGCGGACATGGAGCTTCTGAAGTGCCAAGTGAGGGGAAAAGGTATTTCCAGGATGGAGACCCACGATGAGCACATCCAATCCTGTCATGCTTAAGACAAACCAGACGCGCTACGCATGTACTTTTTGACAGTAGAATAAGCCATAAGACAAGAAATTCTCATTGAGATCTCGACTGCATCATTTAAGATTTGAATGGTCAAGGTCGGAGAGATCCTATTCTCAGGGGAGTAGCTATCGCCCTTTACATTGTTGTGACCCAAACCCAGTACCCAGAGGTTCGGCGTCATGACAAGACAAAAACTGAAGTCATAACAAATTAATAGTGCAACAGAATAAAATAAAAGGGTACCCAAATCTTTATTTAATTATAACAAAAGCATATACATTGGAGTTTCTATTTGATTACATTGCCAGAACTAACTATGATTATAAAGTGCCTTGTGCCTATTACGCCCCATATTTTATTACTCGGATACCATTACCAATATTCATTAATTAAGTCCATTTACAAATGACAAATTCATCTTTTGATGAATTGATGAATAAATAAATATGCATGTTCCCTCTCGTTACACAACAGTGACATTTACATACAAATAAAAGAAATGTCTTGAGGCTTACATCTATATTACATACAAGAAAAACATTGATCCCTGAACTACAAGTATATCTTATAACCTCAAAATAAAATCATAAGATTGCACAAGAAGGAAATTCCATGTCCTGATATTTGAATCTTCAATTACCTGTGAAGTTCGTCAACGTGGAATGAACACTAATGTAACGCCCCATCTTTTATTAATTAGATTCCATTACCAAACCATTATTATAGATTCAATTTCAGAGATAACATACAGAAACTCTTTATATTTATAAGAACACATAAATAAAGATTCCCTCATCTGAAGACAATACGAATGCAACAAGAGTTATAATTCAATAAATTGCCCATAGGCTTACATCTTCTAAATGAAGAGAAAAGGTTTAACCCTTTTATATCGATGGCATTCCTCCAACAAATAAAAGGCCTTATGGCCAATAGGTAAAGAAGATCCATGCCTTGAAACGCTTCTCGACGTTCACCTGAAAAAGGATTAGCACCGTGCGATGAACATAAAGTCTAGTAGGGAGCTCAACATGATCCTAAACAATAACAACTTACAGATAGCTATGATCATGAATGCTTAGTCTCATACTATATAAATAATGTGACGGTTTATACAGAAATATACGTATATAAGAACTTTTCTCAAA